AAATACTCAAATCTATCATGTGTTATTGAACCAATAGTGTCACTTATAAAATTCATTTGATTTCATGGATTTAACAATCATTCTGTGAATTCTATCATGAGTAGAAGCTGAATATCCTGATGTGCCTGACCCACTAATTTGATGGGTTTAGCAGTCATAAAGTTTTATTGCAGTATTTTGAGCTTAGGCTGAAACTTTTCAGAATAGGAAAAACTGCTGTAGACCATTGAATGCAGTCGTCCCCAACCTTTTTGGCACTAGGCACTAGTATCATGGAAGACAACTCTTCCATGGATGAGGGTCAGGGGCGATGGTGTTGGGATGAAACTGTTCCATTTCAGATCATCAGGCATTAGATTCTCATAAGGAGTGTGCAACCCAGATCCCTCGCATGTGCAGTTCACAATAGAGTTAACACTCCCATGAGAATCTGATGCCTCCACTGAGCTGACAGGAGGCAGAGCTCAGGTAATAATGCTCGCTCACCCGAGCATTACCTCCTCCTATGTGGCCTGGTTCCTAAAAGTACAGGGATGGATCCCTGGGTTGGGGACACTTACTGTAACGGCTTTGGAAATTAGCTTTTGCTGCAGACTTTCTAATGTATATTAATTAATGCAATCTAAAATCACAAGAAACCATAGAATGTACAAGTTAATACTGCAGTAAAATCATTGTAACAACTAATATTTGAATCACAAGATTCAAATGTTGAGCTGCTATATCAACTTCTCATCCTGTCAAAAATTAAAATAAGAGCCAGGCAAGGTATAGTCCCAGCTATACCAAGGGTTGAGGCAGGAGGATCACTTGAGCCTAGGAGTTCAAAGCCAGCCTGGGCAACATAGCCAGACTCTGTCTCTAAAAATAAGCAAATAATAATTTAAAAAAACAAGAAGCAAGATATCTATTTTCACACAAATTTTGCAGTAGATACATTTTCTGAGCTCAGTTTATGATTTCAATATTCCAGCAGCATTTTTTGGACCTTGACGCAGTGCACAGAAATTTCCTTATTTCAAAATCCATTTGTCAGTTACAAAAGACCACATATTGCATGACTCTATTTATATAAAATGTCCAGAAAAAGCAATTCTATAGAAACAGAAACTACATTCATGGTTTCTTAGGATGGGGATGGGAGGCCTGGGCTGAGGGCAGGGAATGATGAATAATGGGTATGGGATTTCTCTTGGGGGAATAAAAAATGTTTCAAAATTAGGTAGTGATACTGGTCTCATATCCTGTGAATATACTAAATAATAATTATACACTTTAAATATGTGAACTATATGATATGTGAAACATATTTCAATAAGGAATTTTTTAAAAATCCATTTGACTGTGCAACTGAGGAGCTTCCACCTAATCTTCAATTGGAAGTATTTTGCACTGTAATGAAATTCTAAAAGGCAAATATCAAGAGATGAATTTAAAGAATTGCATAAAAAACTTCCAAATTATGAATGTGCATACATGCTAGTAGACTAATATCTGTATTTGGCAAAACCTATATGTGTGAAAAGATATTTTAAATATGAAATATGTAACATTTCAACACAGGTCAGTATGACAGATGAATATTTAAAATACTAATGACAGGAAACATTAATGTTGAACCCCAGTCAAGCAAAACATTACCTCAAAAGAAATAATTCTATTATTCACATTAGTAAATCTATATTACAAATTTCAAGATACTTTGTTATTGTTATTACTAATATTATTATATTTTCAATTTTCTCAATAAAATATATGGAAATTTGTCCTTTCTCTTGTATTACAAGTACCTACATAATATTCTTCATTTTGCCTCTTGGCCTACAAAACCTAAAATATGTACTATCTGGCCCTTTACAGAAAATGTTTGCCAGCCTTTGATATAAGACATAGAAGAGATAGATGTTATAAAATTCTTTTGAATAGACACAAAAAGAAAGCTATTGCACCAATAATTGGTTTAATTCAACTTTTAAAAAGTCTATTTGAAATGATTAGGCATGATTACTAACATGAAGATAGGGCATACAATAATCAAAATGCATTAAAGAAAACGCTGAAGACAACTGGAGGAAGGGATCTGATGGAAGTCATGCATTACAGTATCTTTGTAAAAACCCAAAGGACACCTTAAGATCAGTACTTGAATATGACATCAAAGGAAGTCAGATGGTTGTCCTCCCCTTCTAACCAAAAAACTTTCTCGATGTGGGGGGAAAAGGGTCAACCTGACAATCATCAAAAACAAGGTCACAAAAGAAGGTAAGGCATTTATAGAAATAGCAATCTTTGGCTTTGTAAATAGAGAAAGTTACAAATCAGACTAACACCAGCCTGGCAGAGAAAACAAATGCATTATTTGTACTTGGAAGGGTAATCAAGGGATGCAATCTGAATTATGCTCCTCTAATGGAGATGATCATTTCTACCTTTGTGACATATCTAGAATTCATTTTAAAAGGCAATGAAAGAAATGAGCTCTCATGACCTATATCACCTCGCAAAGGCCCGCCTCATCTCTTAACACTATTGCATTGATGGCTGAGTTTCAACACATGAATTTTGGGAAGAAACAGACATTCAGATCTTAGCAGCACTTATTTTCCAAAAATCAAAGAAGTATCAAAAAGTTGATTAATGTAACATAACCATGTTCACAATACCCCTTTATTAACAAATGTTAATATTTTACCATTCTGCTTCCTATTTTTTATATAAAAAGTACATTACAAAGAATACAATTCCTTCCTATACCTCTCTTCCTTCCCACAACTAGACACTCATAAATCTGATTTATGTTTTTTTACTATACTATACACATTTCTCTGAACCGTATATTGTGGCTTTATGTGTTCTTAAAATTTCACTGCTTTGAAACTGCTTAAATTCTGAAATTTGATCTTCTTTTCCTTAATATTGTATTTCCAATATATATTTTCATGTTAATATGTAGAGATTTAGTTAAGATTATGTGCAGTTGAATATTCTACTTTATGAATATATCAGAGTTCTCTCATCCATTTCCTAAAGATAGAAATTCATTTCCAAAATAACTAAAAGAGTATAATTGGATTATTTGTATCACAAAGAATAAATGTTTGAGTGGAAGAATATCCCATTTTCCATAATGTGATTATTAAGTATTACATGCCTGTATCAAAATATCTCATACAACCCATAAATACACATACCTATTATGTACCCACAAAAATAAAAAATAAAAGAAAAACAGAAATTTGTTTTCAATTTTTTACTATTACAAATAATGCTGTAATATATAAACTCATATATACATCTTACACATGTGCAGGAGTTTTTCTCAGAACAAACAGTGTGTGAACATCCCTTTTTCTCCGATCCTAACCAGCACTTGGTATACCCCAGATTTTTGGATCTTGCACTTTTAAGTGTGAGACACTAACTGGTTTTGTTGACTTGCATTATTCTATTAGTATGGATCACGTGACCTAAGAATGAGTATGAGCTTTTTTGTATACATTTATTGGCCATTAATGTCATTAAACTTTGCATTTCTTTTATTGGGTGCTTTGTCTTTTGTTTATTGATTCGTATGAGTTTGCATATACTATGGATAATAACCTTTTATGTCTTACATATATTATAAAACTATTTTCCCAGATGTGAATTGTCTTTTGTCTCAGTTTATAGTATCATTTTCCCCCTTCAGGAATTATTTGCTTAGAGGGAATCAAGCTTAGTCATTTCCTTTCAGAGTTGTATTTCTCCAGTTCTAAGAAATATTTTTCCGTACCAAGGTTATACAGACATCAGAAAATCAATTCTACTAGTACACTTAAAATTTGATTACACATCCAGGTCTTCAACATATCTGGACTTTATTTCTCCATATGATGAGATTTTTTAAAAACCTCATTTTTTATATGGAAAGCCTACCATCCTTGCACTTTTATCGAAATGTCCACTCCCCTCCACTCTATTTTCTTTCTTTCTTTTCTTGAAAAAAGGTCTCAGTCTGTTGTCCAGGCTGGAAGTGTGATCACAACTCACTGCAGCCTTGGCCTCGCAGTCTTGGGTGATTCCCCCACCTCAAGTCTCCCTAGTAGCTGGGACTATAGGCATGCACCACCACACCTGGTTACTTTTTTGTATTTTCTGTACAGACAGGGTTGCTCTATGTTGCCCAGGTTGGTCTCAAACACCTGGGCTCAAATGATCCACCCACCTTGCCTTCCCAAAGTGCTGGAATTACAGGCGTGAGCCACCATGCCCGGCCACTCTATTTTATTGACTATAGCACAACTACAGTTATGTCCCAAGTTCCCATACACAAGTGGGTCTCATTATTAGCACTTTTCTCTGTTCCAGTAAATTGTCTGTACCTATAAAAACACAAAATGATTTAACTTATTGCTGTGGTGTGAATATTTGCTTCTCCTTAAAATTAATGTTGAAACCTAACACCCAAGGTGAATGGTATTAAGAAATGGGGCTTTTGGGAGGTGATTGAGGGCTCTGCCCTAATAAACAGGATAAATATCCTATAAAAGAGGCTTCAGAGAGCTTGTTTTGCCCCTTCTGTCATGTGAGGATGCACAGAAGGTGCCATGCATGAGGAGCAGGCTCTCACCAGACACTGAATCTCCTGGTGCCTTGATGTTGAACTCTCAGCTTACAGAATTGTGAGCAATAAATTTCTGTTGTTTATAAATTACCCAGTCTCAGTATTTTGTTGTAGCAGCACAGACCAAGACACTAACCCATTAAATATCTTTTCCAAGAGTCTTACAGTTATTACAGGGCAAAGATTAAACCCAAATTATCTAATTCCAAGCCTCTTCCTACAGAGCCAGTAAGCATTTGCAATACAGCCACAAAACACCATAGGAAATAATCAATTAATTAATTTTACCAGGGGTAAAAACATCATTATGTATCTTCCCCACCCCCTTATGAAAGTGAAGGCTACCACAGAAGATGGAATAGAATGAGTGGTATTAGTTTGAGTATTTAGTATCTACCTTTAATTATATAACCTGCAAGGTCCTTTTCATTAGTGACAAGTGAGGACATAAATCCACTAAACCACCACTCAGACTCTAAATTTACATTTGTCCTGACCATATTTCACTCACTACCTTAATTTTCTCATGTTTGTGTCCTCCTCTGTATACTAAATAAAGTACATAGTCAGAGTTCTATCCCACATCTTAGTTACCATGAAAACCAAATAATCCCCAGAATCTGATTGTCTCTACATCTCAAGACACAAAAGCCTTTTAAAACCAGTGGCTCTAAACCTTGTTGGGTAATGGTCCAAAGATTTAATAAATATTATGGACCCACTCATAAGAGAAAAATTGATTTTACATAAAATTTCAGAACATTTATGACCCTTCCGAAGACAATACATGAACAAATAGACTCTCAAGTTAAGAACCTCTATTTGTGGTGGGGTGGGGGAGTGTTGAAGAAGAAATATATAGAAAGCTTTTCCTTAAAACAAATTACTCTATGAAGTGATCCTTTTACTGTGACGCCTTTATGTGCTTCTTCCCTTTCCTTACCCTTTCATGAACCAGCAGCAAACCTGCTAGCCAAGGAAAGATGAATGAATTCCCTTCACAGCCTTTCAATATATTCATCAAAGGTAACATGTGAATAATAGAACCCCATTCCTATTCTTCTCTCCAGGAAGTGAGTAAATAACTTCCACATACCATTAAGTCATCAACTCTGGACATATTTTACTTTATAAATCTATCAATTATGTACCAAAGATGACTTGAGAAACCAGTGTTTTCATATCATCTAGAAACCAAATGCCTTTAGAGGGTAGGTACATAAAGCAATTGTTTAATATTTTGTTTTCAGGAAGGATCTAGCATAGACTCATATGTAAATATATTATTAATAATAAATTATCTAAAAATGGCAATGACTATAAATTATTATGCAAAATGTGTTACTGAAACAAAATTCAATGCAGGAATCCTTTTTTTGGAGGCTGGGGGTGGGGTTTAGACTACAGAATTTTCCCATACATGAGGTACCAATAACCACATTTTTGCTATAGAAAATATCCAAGTATCTAGAAAGTGAGATAAATATTGAAAAAGTATCTTGTATTACCTTATGAAATATCTTCTGTTTTTCAATAAACTTGGTACTTTTGAGGAAAAATGCTAAACTGTCATGATCCAAAAATTAAATCCTATCACATTTACGGAGAAACTTCTTGCAAACATTGAACTTTCTTTGAAGTGAGTTGATTCTTGACAGAAAGATTAACATGAGTGTGAAAGGCAAATAAATCTCGGGACCCCAAAAATCACTAAGCCAAGGGAAAAGTCAAGCTGGAAACTACATCAGGCAAACCTGCTTCCCCTTTTATTCCTAAATAAGATAGCTACAAACATAAAAAAGCTACATAGCTACATACCTCTCTCACAATTTGCCCACAAGGAAATTCCTTGTGGGCCTCAAGATCTTTTTTTTTTTTTTTTTTTGAGATGGAGTCTCGCTCTGTCGCCAGGCTGGAGTGCAGTGGCACGATCTCAACTCGCTGCAACCTCTGCCTTCCAGGTTCAAGCAATTCTTCTGCCTCAGCCCCCAGAGAAGCTGGGACTACAGGCGCCCATTACCACGCCTCGCTATTTTTTTTTTTTTTTTTTTTCGTATTTTTGGTAGAGATATGGTTTCACTATGTTCGCCAGGATATTCTCTATCTCTCCGCCTGGGCCTCCCAAAGTGCTGGGATTACAGGCGTGAGCCACCGCGCGAGGCCAAAATCTTTACTCTATGTTAAACAGTTCTGTTGAATTTCACCCTGGCAATAAATGATAGCGTATCTTCACAAGTCCAGGACAGAAAGTCATCCCTCTGCTCAACTGAGGCAAATGCATATCTGATTGCTTTCTCTGCCTTACTGTTTATGTAAAAATGCAGATTCACTGAGCCAGACTGAATTGTATATTCAGTGAATGGCTGATCAAGGACTCAAACGAATGTAATCTTTTGTTTCTTATCTACTTATGACCTGGAAGTCACCCCCTCACCAAACCAATGTTTGGTCACATACTGATTGATGTTTCATGTCTTCCTAAAATGTATAAAAGCAAGCTGTACCCCGATCACCTTGGGCACACATTGTCAGGACCTCCTGGGGATATGTCACAGTGCATCCCTAACCTTTGCAAAATAAACTTTCTAAATTAATTGAAACCTGTCTCGGATATTTTGTGTTCACATGGGGAAAAATTACAGTTAAATGTCCTGTAAAGGATTTAAAGAGATATTACAAATTTAATGAATGTTCTAAACATAAAATATAAAATCACATTTTTAATTACTTTAATTCTTATCAATTTTTTCAAAAACATTATAAACAGTATTCTTAAGCACCATACAGTGTCTGTGACTGCTCACACCATGTAATTTGAAAATATTTTAAATTGAGTAAATTACTGCTCCTTAAATTACATTTATCCAGATAGGCAGAGAAAACTGAGAAATCAGTAATTAAACAAACGTACAGAGTTTATGTTCTTCTAAAATATAGACAACATGCACATGGAACATATCTATTTTAAAGATAAATACTTGAGAATTTCTCATAAATTTTTTTTAAAATCACACTGACATTTTAGTACCTTCCACTGAAACACTACTGGTTTTATGATCAATATAGAGTGTAATTAGAGGGAAATTTCAAGACTCTATGAAATTAACAAATCAAAGTATGGAGGGAGGGGCAATTCAGTCATTCAGCATAAAATCAACAAAGCAAATCTTTGTTTAAGTTGTTACTTTATCACTCTTCTCTAACTAAAAACAAAGAAAAGGACAGGCACAATCAAAACAGCTATTGTATGGTCAAGCCATGACCCCAAGGCCTTTGCCATTAAAGGTAGAGGATGTGGAACTTACACCAGAAGGGAACATTGTTATACAAAAAAAGAATTAGAAGGAAGAGAAGAATATGTGTAAATAAATAGGAATTAACTGGGGAAGCAAGTAAGTTATCCAAAACAATTCAACAAACCAAAAACAAGAACTAAATAGAATTACCAAAAATTCCAATGACATTCTCTCAGAACTGAAGGTTGGCCAGTAAAACCTTTGTTATCTCTGGGAAGGGGAGGGTAGTAGTTCCTGTTTTTTAAAAAAAGTAATGAAGATACACTGTTGAGCATCAAATTAAGGAAAGACTAAAACAAAGCAAATTGCAAAATATTGAGAAGCAGAGGATGGCTCAACTTTTTTGAAAAACTGATTCTGACAATTAGTGAACTAACTATGGACATCTTCTCAAAAGATGTTTCCAAAATTTTTGGCCAGTGACTTTTTACATGTCTCTGAAACCAAACATTAAAAACAAACAAACAAAAAAATCCCTCCCAGATGGGTAAAATATGAGAGAACCAAGTTGAACAGAGGCTAATCCTACGTTGCTTGAAAGATAAAAACTACAGCTGGTACATAGAGTTGTAAAACCTGGGATGTCTCAGCAGAAAGGCTGCAAGGATGTTCTGCTGCACTAAAGGCAATGCACTTCCAATACTTTTTAAAGGCAAAGATCCAATAAGTGATAGGACACGAGACAGAGCCATCTCCACCACTTGTACACTAATGCAAACCACTGTCACCTCTGACTACTGCAGTTGCCTCCTAACCCATTTCCCTGCTTCTACTCTTGCCAACTCAACCCTTAAACACAATTCATTCTCCACATAGAAGCTAGAATCTTCTTAAAGCATTAACTGTCATGTTACAGCTCAAGCAAACTGTCTGAAGATTTGCCATCATAGTATAAATAAAGTATAATTTCCATGGAGGATCTATACTATCTGACCCTCATATTACCTTTGTAAGTCATCCCCTTCAGGTTCCCCTCTGCTCTCTGTGCTACTGCAACCTCATTGCCTCCTTCAGTTGTTAAAACATGCCATGCCTGTGACCACCCCAGGCTTTGCACACTTGCTCAGGTGCCTCTGCCTTTGGTGTTCTGCACTGTGCTGGTATCTGTTCTGCTGACTCTTGCTGTCACCATTCCGCTCTCACCTTCCTACCTGTATTTGCCACACTGCCTTTCTGAACCCCTCTCCAGTCATGGTCACTTGCACACCCTATTTCCACATGCTTGCTCACTTAGAGAGCTGCCCACCCCTAACTCCTTTCTCCTACCCTCCCTATGCAGCAACAACCATTTTTCAGACAACAGCCAAGTTCTAACTTTTTCTACTCCTACAAAGACAGCTTTCTCTTCCTAGAACACCTTAAGTCAACAATCAGCATCACATAATTGATAGTAACAGAGGACAGACAAATTTGTAGGCAGACAGGGTCAGGTCCCTGGTGAAACCTGACCTTCAAGTCAAGACATCCTGAAGCCTGAAAACCAAACTGCCAGCTCTGGATAGAGTCAATGACCAGAGTGAGAACTTCTATCACCATCTTACACTCTCTCTCGACCGGTTTCTTCTGGATGATACCTGTTAGCCAATCGAATGGTGCTTTTTCCAAAGACCACCCATGGACCAATCAGCATGCATTCCCACATTCCACACCCATAAAAACCTTGGACTCAGCCACACAGGCAGAAAGCGGAACTGCTTTCAGGGTCCCTTTTCAGCTGACAGCTTTGCTTCTGTTGCTCAATAAAATTATTCTCTGCCTTACTCACTCTCTGGTGTCCATGTACCTTATTCCTCGTGGTCACGGGACAACAGCCCAGACTTGCCAAGCTGTGGGCAGTGAGAACAAATGAGTTGTAACCCTCAAATTCACCAAGTTGCAGGCACCAGGAATGAATGATCTGTAATCCTCCCTTTTGCCCACTAAGCTGTGGGCGACAAGTATAAAGGAGCTGCAGCACACTCCTGCTTGTCAGACTATGGGAGAAAGAAAGCTGTAACATGTTCCCGCTCACTGAGCTATGGGAGTGAAGAGCTGTAACACTTTTGGGAACTCAGACGTTGGGACTCCACAAGCAAGAGCTGCAACACCCCTTGGGGCTCCACAGTTGCTGGCATCTCTGAGTTATCAGGAGCCACCACATTCCCCTCATCTAGTTGCTGGCACCCAAGGCGAAAGCTTCTCACAGCATGCCTGGTTGATCCATGGGTTGAGTGCAGAGCCATGGTGGGCACAGGATCTGGTCTGGGGCACAAGCAGAAT